GAAGGCAAACTTGCCGTGCGAGCTAGGCCTTCTGCTGTGCTAGAAACCTGCTCTGCTCTCCTCTCCTCTCCTGGCATCTGTCTGTTTTGCCAGCAAGCGGCTTTGGTGCTGGAGCGGGCAGCATGCTGGGGGTCTGTCTCGCCAGCACGCAGCCATGTGCCGATGACAGCAGAGGGGTGCAGGGGTGCCGCGGTGCCAGCTTCCCTGCAGCTAACGCAGAGTGTCCTGGCATCCCAGGGGGAATCTCCCACCGTCCTGTGACCGCTGTGTCTCCTGGGCCTGTCCCTGAGGCCCTGTTCAGAGCTAAGTAGGTTAAGCGAGCCCTTCCTGCGAGGGCTGGGATTAGTGACCGCTCCTCAAGGCACAACAGGATCAGTAGTGGCCCTGCCAATAAAGCTGGATCAAGGCGCGTTTTGGCTGAGAGGGGATCTGGGGCGGGGCGGGGATGCGGCTGGGTGCTGTGCTGTCCTGCCCGTCTCTACTTTAAGCTGCCTTTCCCCATGACTCTGGAAATGGCCCTGTGCTTTGCATGGATCCGGCCCGCTCGCTAGCCTGAGGCAGCTGCAAGGGGAAAGCTCTTGATGCGGCGGTTGCTTGGGCTGTGCCGACACCGATTCGTTTGGGGAGACTTCAAAGGCCGCATGGCACAACTGGCCGATCTGGGGGACCAAGCACGCGACGGCAGGGTCTGCCCCGGAGGATGCCCAGTCTGCGCGGTTTGTGACCTGCAGTCTGGTGGGAGATGCGATGTCTGCTCTGTGCAAATGCAATGTCCTAGAGCTGCGAGACCTTGCTGCGGTCTGGTGCAGAATTTATTTCCCCATGCTGCTTTCCAGAGTAGACGTGGACTGGCTCTGAGTGGGGGAGACTGAGCCAAATCAGCAAGTTGGGGCCCAAAAGGAACCGCCAAGATGCTAGGGAGCCATGTGGCTTGCTCCCCTCACCAGGGCCCATGGCTCGCGTCCTGTCGGGGCAGGTGCTGTGCAGGCAGCTCGCGGGCATGGGCAGGTCCTGCACAGTGACAGTGCCCAGGGGTGTTTCTCAAGTCCCGTGCTACTCGGCCAGCCCCATGACCCTGCAGATGCCCCTGCCAGGCCGTCCTGGGGAATGGCAGAGCGGGGACCTAAGTGCTTGCAGCCCTTCTGTTCAAGGCCTGGGTAGCTGGTTGCTTCCTGCAGGGCAGCTCCAGACGTGAGTAACATCCTAGCCGAGAGGAGATGTGGAAGAGCCTCACATTTTCCATTTGGGGAGCTGCGGGGTGAGTGAGGGGGAGGAAAATGGCAGGAGCTGTGTCCTTGTGATGGCCATGGAGCCAGCATGTGCTGTGGGCTCGCAGGGGTCCCTGCGTGAGCCCCCCAGAAGCTAGCGGCATCGGCCCCAAGTGACCCCCACCTCCACTGCTGACTCGGTGCCTCCGATGTGCTCTCAGACCACGCCTTTGCTATCCCTTGCGCACCAAAGTCATTAGCTGTAATTGGTTCCCTGTGTTGTTCCAAAGGTTGACACGCTGTTTGCAGCACGGTACCACCAGGCCAAGGTTTCTGGGCACCGACACAGGATCGGGTGTTGGTTTTCGTCTGAGTCACCTGCTGTGCTCTCAAGGTTTAGCAGATGCCGGTGCCTCCCAGCAAGGCAACCTCGCCTCTCGCCCACCCGCCCCGAGGATACGGTCTCGCGCATGCTCCCAGCTCCAGCTGAAACACGCCGGGTTTCTGTGTTGCATCTCCCTGAAGGGCTTCTCGTGTCCTAGGACTTGGCACTTTGTCCTTTAAAGTAAGGCGTGAAAGAGAGTTCCCGACCTGACACCGCCGGCACAGGTCTTCTGAACGTATATTAACTACGCGCTGTGGTGGTGGCTTGGGTCTTTGGGAACGCGTTTTCTATTCAAGACTTTTTCCAAGCCTTTATATTATAGATAAATAACGCCAGGAAAGCGATTTGGACACAGAGTAGGGGACAGAAGAAATCCTTCCAGGTGAGGCTGGCAGGAGCTGCGGGGGGGAAGGCTCTTGCACCCTGGGACTGGGAGTGGGGAGCAGCAGAGGAGATGCGCAGTACACGAGACCAGGCCAAGGGAAAGGGTATTCTGCTCCCTGTCCTGAGATATCCAAAAGGAGCAGCAGTGTCTGCTTCTTGTCTGGCAAGCAATGTAGTACAAGACAGCCAGCCCTTCCTGCCAACTTCTCCAGTGCTGTCTGCGGTCCCAGGGCTGACGCACCCATGGCCTGGCTTCTCACCCTTTGCTATTCTTATCCCATGGCCACTGTGTTGCACATCTTGGGCCTTGCAATTTGCAGCCAGTGCAAAGTGAGAGCAGGCAACCTGGCACCCCTGCCGGGTCCTGTGCGGCCTGGCTCTCCTGCACTGTGTTCACGTTGTCTCTCTGCAACCCCGCTGTCCTGCCGTGTTCAGTCTGGGGCTGTGCTGCTCCCCGGCAGGCTGCCGTACTCCAGCGTGGGGCTGTTCCCAGCTGGAGGCTGCTGGGGAACCTCAATCCAGTTTGCAATGGCAGGCATCCATCACAAAAGCCATTGCCAAAGTGGATGCTAGCCAGTCACCTCGGCAGCAGGACAGACCCTAAGCCAGGGTCAGGCATGCAGAGGTGAGGCCTGGGGCCCTGGACAGGACCCTCGCGCTGTTGGGACCTGGGCGCTCCCCGTCCTGTGGAAAGACGCGCTTGTGCCATAAAAAGCAGCATGCTTTCCACAGCTGTGAGTTGGACTTGGGGGGCTCGGGGCAGGTTAAGTGTAGGGACTTCTTCCAGGGGAGAAGGTGAGCCAGGGGAAGGTGTGAAGCCAGTGCCCAACATGCAGGATGCGAGGGGGGTGCTGGCATGGGGGGTGAAGCGCTAACTTGGAGCCTTCCCCCTGACCGCTTGTCTCCTTCCTCGGTGCCTGTGTAGGCATGGCTGCGGTCTCTCTGGGCCCACAGTTCCCTCTCCTCCAGCAGCAGCTGTCCAGGACCACGTCCCCCTCTCTTCTCTCGTGTTTCCCTTTCCTGGGCCACCGCATTATTCCTTCCCTGCCAGCCTCACCCTGCGTGGCTGCATTGGTGTCCATCGCTGCAGCTGGCCCGAAGCCTTGTATCACAGTCTCTCGCACACAGTACGAGTGTTCACCACAACGAGGACGATGTCTTGTGTGTTATCTGGTCCCCTCCGAAATCTCCTGAGACCCCCACGCTTGTCCTTCAAGGAAAGGGTCTTGCTGCTGGTGATGATGCAGCCAGCTCGCTGCTTCTGTCCTCCCTCACCTGCTACTCCCTGCCTCGGTTTACTTCCCTCCCTGTCATCCTCAACCTACGTCACTATGGGCAGACTTAAGCCGAGGAGCAGCACAGACTCGATGCTCTTCTGCCTCCGAGAAGCTGCCGGAGCTGGGATCTACCGAGGGTCCTGAAAGAAGCTGTTTGAGTCGGTCTCGTGCCGTAACGCCCGGGGTAGGTGCGAACGGGGGCAGAGCTCTGGCTGCAGCGAAGCAATCTTGGCTTGCTGGAGCACTGATGTTCCTGCCTCGACTGTGTCCTTTGCAGCGCTGCAGTGTCGGGGAATGGGATCCAAGGCACTTTGTTTGAGATCATTAATAAATGACAGGCGCAGGGACCCAATACTGCAAAACAAGCCGTGGGCTGGGGACGCCCCGTTGCCAGAGGGGCAGGGCGCTGTGGACACAGAGGGCCCCCAGGGCAGTGGTGCTGAATGGGAAGGCGCAACCCCGTGCCCAAGTCGGACCCTTCTGCAGGGCACTATGGGTGCAGCCATAAACCATGCCCTTCCCCCTACGCTTGGCGCTGCAAAGTCTGCATGGGGCCCGGCGTGGACGTGGAAGGAGAAGTGCCGTCCTGCCTGCTGGCTCCTGCTCGCCTGGGGCAGGGTTCACATCCTCCCACAGGGAGCCAGAAGCTCTTGGGCTCGCACTGGTGTTTTTGAAAGCGGCCGTTACTGCAAGCTGCACCGTGATGGCAGAAACATGAGTGGCTGCGGCGCAGAGCCCTGGCACGAGCTCGGAGGGCCCGACACGCGAGTGGCAAGGGTCTGCACCGGGGAGCTGTGCCAGCACAAAAGCCCTTTCTTTCCTCCAGGGTGGGTTTCCAGTCCCCTCTCTCAAAGCAGCACTAACACTTGCCATGATCCTCCGCTTGCTCGGGACCCTTCTAGCTGTCTCTGCAGGGATGAAGAGGGACTCTGCCCCTCAGGAAAGGCAGAGCACAGCCAATTTGACTGGTGGGGGCCCAACTCGGACCTGAACTCCAGCTTCTACCCCTTATTTGCTCTTTCGAACTGGCAGGTCTTGCAGGGGGGTAGTGTTAAACTCTTTCCTGACCTGCATATTCCCCCAAGCTGCTTGTGGCCCCTCCTGGTCACCTACACCACCCAGGCAGATGCCCCGCTCTCCCAGTGCCAGAAGCTGCTGCTGATTTTTTCCCATCTTGGTCTTGGGGATAAAAAAAAAAAAAATGCTTCCAAATGAGCAGTGGCCCCGAGGGTTGATGGCTGCAAAGATCGGTGTACCAGGGCCCCAGGTGCCATCCTGCTGTCCGTTGCCCCGCACATCTCAACACTTAGCCCCCGTGGCAGACAGAACCGCAGCCTGCGCGCAATGTAGTGCAGCCATGAGTCGAGGCAACCGGCCCTGAAGACGAAGGCCTGATGCATGCTACGGTGTCTCGACAGGGGAGGAAGAGCCCCTGTTTTGGCTAGCAGGATTTCTGGGGGGCCTCGGACCCGCGCCGCAGTGCTCCAAGCTAGGGGCCTCCTCGCAAGCGGTGGCGTGGATGGTGTGCTGGTTTTGGGAGGTACCAAGGGCCATAGAGGAGGGAACCTGGTACCGTCCCGGTGCACATGCTGATAGGAAATCCATCCCCCCAGGTGGGACACCTGATCGAAATGGAGCAGTTAAACTTTAATGAGGGATAAAAACAGCCTGGGCTAAAGACTTGCTGCCCTCCCTCCCTCCCTGCCCCCAGCCCCGGGCTCCCCCCGAGCCGCGGGGGGCACTCACCATCCTCCTGGCTGTGGAGGTTTTGAGGGCTGCGCATGCTCTCGTCCTGGCTGGGGCTCAAGCTGGAGTTCAGATGCTGGTCAGCTGAGATCCATGTGGAGTCATTCATATCAAAATCCTCGCTGCTCACCGATGTCTCATCCTGAAGGCAAGCGGGGAAAGGGTTAGCTTGGGAGAGCTCCCTCCAGCCAGGGGAGAAAAGATGGGCGGCCCCTGAACCCCCAAAGGTGCTCGCTCGTGTGCTCGCCGGCCAGCCGGCCGGCCCTGCAATGGGCTGCTCTCAGCGCGCTCCGGGAGAGGTGGCGTTTCCCCCGCGGAGAGCGCTACCGCTCCGCTTCCTGTCGGAAGATGTGCCTGAGAAATGGCACTGTCTGTAATTGAGGACAATTAGAAAGCGCTCGCATCCTGTAGGAGCGGATGGCCGAGCCCTGGAGTTTACCCTTTAATCTCCATCCGTGCTCCTGTCTCCGGGGCAGACAAAACGTGGTGCGGGCGGCAGGGAAGGAGGGCGCGACTTGGTCAAAAAGGCTCGGGCTGAAGCCTGGGCCTGGGTAAAAACCCCTCCTGGACAGCAGGCAGCGTGGGGCCAAATTCTCAACGGGGCAGCAGCGATTTTTGTTTTATTTTTTTCCCCCCCACAGACCTGTGCTGCTAAACCCCAGGGGAGGCCGAGCCTGGTGCCTGCATGCTCACCCTCGGGCGCTACGCGCGGGACTCAGATGGCGGAGGGTTCCTGGCACTCGGATCAGCCTACAGGACCCAGGGACCCTGTGCTGTGGGCTTCTCCGTGCATCGCCTCCCCAGACACAGCCTGGGCAGGGTCCACAGAGGGTCTCTAGGGTCCCTGGAGAAAGGGATGCGGCAGGAGCCGAGGAAGCCCCGGGGATGGGTCAGCCCAGAGGGGACGGCGGGACAGCCGCCCAGTCCGAAGGGCTCGCAGCACCCCAATGGGTGCCCGGCGGCAGCCAGGCCTGGCGACTGAGTATAAGGAGGCTCCCCTGCGAATGGCGCAGGGAACACGCCGGCTCCCAAGTCGGGAGAACCTCGCCCAGCAACGCCACTGCCTTGCCTATAGCATAGATTAAATTCCTCTCTCCCACTCCTGCAGCTGAAAGGACATTTTCTCTCTCTCTCTTCCCCCTCCTCTCTCCCTCTCCCTCCTAACCTTTACTGTACTTCAAGACACAGCCCTTGGAGAGCTTCCAGAGCCGGAAAGGTCAGCCACAGGATTTCAAAATCATCATCATAAAGGCAGCACTGAGATCCTGAATGAAAGGAGGGGCTGAGGGACCTCCCTGCGTCGAGCCTCCGAACAGGCAGCTACGAAGGAAGTGCAGATACGTGTTCCCTGCTTAACACATCCCCTTTTTAATGGTTCCTTTATCTGCCTTTCCTCTTCCCCCTCCTTCCAAGTCACAGAGCGAGACCACAGCCAGCATGGTGGGCTGGAGGGCGGCACCAGCCCACGCTCGGCATGGCTTTCCTGCTTCCACCGCTCTCACCTTCTTGATTTTTTTTTTTTTTTTTTTTTTAAAACAACCTTTCCTGGCTCATAACCTCTCTGTTCCCCCAGCATTTATGGGCCGGGGGGGGTGTGGAAATCAGGCCCCACTGCCTTTCCTTGCAGGAGG